TATGCTCAATGGGGACCACTTCTGGAGTCTGGGCATGTACACCAAGAAGTGAGCAGGGCATCTCAAATGCTGCCAAGCTGCTGCTTCAGGGCTCTGTCTGGTGACTGCCCTTGCCAGGTCCCAGGTACGTTACAAGGAATGGCAGCAAAATCTCATTTGCCTAGGGTGGCAAAAATCTTTGCACCCCTCCTAGGGACAAGAGGCCCAAGTTTCATAGCATGTCTGGTTAGTGCCAATCAGTTAAAGATTTTTAAATTATGCCATATGAATCATTGACACTTCCTTACCAGGCTTCCATCAGATGTGCTTCCCTTTGATAACACAAATTTTCACACACTGAAATCCCACCAGCTTCTGGAGACTTGGACCAGACAAAAGCCAAAGAATAACTCTAATTATGGGTAGGGTGGATAAAAATCAATGATAAAAAAAAAAGTAAAAGATTGTTTTTATTTAAATCAGATTTATTTAACTGTATTTTTAAGATGCTTTTTTAATTAAAAAAATAAACCTATATAAAGATACTTTTAATTCAAGATATGTTAAAGCTCAAAGAAATCCTCATGCAATAGGGATTATAGCTTCTAACTGCATATTCTGTGAAAGAATATATTCACGTGACTTTTTTAGAAAAGATATATAAATAGGCCACAACAGGCCATGGGGCCCAATCTTACAGGATTCCCAGAGGCTCCTCTATAGATTAGTAAAGATTAAACAAAACCACTGTACCCAATGGGATTCAGTGCTCAGTCTACAAGATACCATTAAGCATCTCTGAGATGCTTAGTTTCATTTCTCAAACTGGATTTGTGTCGCCAAAGATAACATCCTTATTAACAGCAGTATATTGAGATGAGAAATAACAGAGCTGATTACCTACTCTCAGCCCTCTTGTCTCTCTACAAGTTTGTGTACATGGAGTCAAGCCCGTACCTCTCCCTAAAAGCGCAAAGTTTCAAGAACTTAAATTAATAGCGAAAGGATTGCTAGGAGTGGAGTAGATCTGGGCAAGGAAGAACAGTCTGGAGATAAATGCAAGGAGGGAGGGGCAGTAGAAACAAAAAAGAAACATTTTGAGCAGAATATTCCAGAATTCTTGAGGGATAAGTTTCTAAGTATAGCCTCTCCATTGATTTGAGATCTAACGAGGGAATGGTATGGTAGAAGGTAAAACCTATCATGGCAGCAGACTTGCCAGGCTGTAAAAGAGAGAAGAAAGCTAGAAAAAAAGTGAAGAAAGCACCAAGCTAATAACAATATACAGCTCAGCGCTCATTTGATGTCCTAATGCAGCAAGGTAAAAACATCCCCCCCATATCTATGATTAATCTAGTGAACTGGAGATGGTTCACCTCCCAGTGACCTTACAAGTGTGTGGGCCGGGAGCAACCCGAGCACTTTTCGCGCTGCACGCGGGCTGTGGCCAGCAGCCCGGGCACGCCGGGGCGGAGAGGGAAGGCCTTCGAGCTGGAATTAGACACGGACACGTAGCGGTAGTTTAAAAGATTGTTTACTTACACCGAGATGGCAGTGGTGTAGGCTGGAAAACTTGCTTAAGTTGCGGTTACAGACAAACAACACAGACGGTCTCATAGAGGTTGCTAGGCTCCACGGTGCAGAGCTCCGGATGCTCTGGGTGAACGAGCCACCAAAATAGAAATCGTAAGTATGTCTTATAAAAGTTGCGTTCGAAGACGGGAAGAGGTGGGCGGTGGATCAGGCCGCCACGCTCCTCTGGATCTCACACAGGGTTTCTATTACCCTGCCATGTACCCAGA